GCTATCAGCAGCCCAGGCTCTGGTTCGTTCATAACGGAAAAATCTGCTAACTTCAGGACTTTAACATTTTTTTTTCTCCAAAGGATAACGCTTTTCCATGAACCTACCCTCCAAAGAAAGTATCTCTTTTGTCTCTCCTTTTCTGAATCTATACGGAAGAGAGGCAAGTGCCTGTTAATGGAATGACCTGCAACCACATGTAGAAAATGATCTTTTTTCCTCTCTCAGGCCTGGTGTCCCGAAACCGCCCTGAGGAGGAGGACCAGTACTGGCTGAGCATGGGCCGCACGTTCCACAAAGTGACCCTGAAGGACAAGATGATCACCGTGACGCGCTACCTGCCCAAGTGAGTCCTGGGACAGGTCAGGTCTCCAGCTCCTGTCCTGCGTTGTGTCCACATGCTGTCCACATACTCAGTTACGTGTGTCACACGCGGTTCACACGGAGGCGTTGGAGTGAGTGTTGTTGTCCTCTTCTGGAGTTACTGTTTCGTTTCCTAGGGTTATGTTAGGGTTATAGCTCCCAGAGTTCCAAAAGGGATTTGATGCCGTTTATAACGTTTCGCCTGATTCTTAAAAAGCCAAGTGAAAATGGAGAATGTGAGGAGAGAAGAAGGGGAAAGTTGAGATCTGAGAAATCTCCTTTGCCAGCCCCCGGGGATGAGGTGGTTGAATGCCGAGGAGGGTGCTGAGTGTTTTGGAAAAGGTAGGGAGGAATCGGGGAGGGTTCTCTGTTGGACTTCCGGCCGGGCCGTTTTGTTTCAGGTACCCTTACGAATCGGCCCAGATCCACTACACCTACAGCCTGTGCCCTTCCCACTCGGACTCGGAGTTCGTGTCCTGCTGGGTGGAATTCTCCCACGAACGGCTGGAGGAGTACAAGTGGAACTACTTAGATCAGTACATCTGCTCCGCCGGCTCGGAGGACTTCAGGTCGGAGGGCGCTTCGGCTTTCCATTGGGCCTCCTTGGGTGTAGCCATATTTTTTGTTTGTTTTTGTCTAAACAATATTTAGTCATTTATTATTTTATTATTATTATTATTTTTTAATCTTTATTGTTGAAAGTGTTACATATGTCCCTCTTTTCCCCCCATTGACCCTTCCAGCCCGCCCCAGGCCTTCACCACCCTATTGTCTGTGTCCATGGGTTATGCATGTATGCATACAAGTTCTTTGGGTGTATCCATATTTTAACACTTCCGGCCTTTGATTACAAAATGATGTCGGTTTTAGAAGAACCTGGAAGAACAAAAGCACGTCTGCATTTGGGTTAAAAACTCAATGATGGGATGGATGGTGGTGATGGTTGCACAACCGCGGGAATGTGCTTAATGCCACTGAAATGGACACGTAACGGTCATTAAAGTGGTAAACTTCGCTACGTAGATTTTACCACCTAAAAACAAACAGCCAGAAAACTGGGTGGTGGAATGTCAGTGCGGGTCATGTTCTCTTAACGTTTTCCTGCCCACTTTGTGGTGCTTTGCTGTTAATTTTCTGTGTGATTTATGACTGCGGGGATTTAAAAGCCACAGCTCCCCCGGGCCGGGCGCACAGAAGCATCCTGGCATCTCTGGGAACAATAAGCAAATGCAATCTTCCAGTTCCTCCTCCTGAGCTTGTGTTTTTGTGGGTTTTTTAAATTTTTATTTTGTTATTATTTTAAAATATATTTTTATGGATTTCAGAGAGGAAGGGGGAGGGAGAGAGAGATAGAAACATCAATGATAAGACAGATTCATTGATCAGCTGCCTCCTGCACACTCCACACTGGGGATCGAGCCTGCAACCTGGGCATGTGCCCTGACCAGGAATCGAACCGTGACCTTGAGGTCGATTCTTTTGTTTTTTCAGAATTTATCGTTTAATTATCTTTGGCATACAGCCAGCTTGTGTTGTGAGTGAAGCCCCTGAATTGTGGCACATCATGGGGAGAGGGTCCCTCACACATCAGCTTCGGGGAGAGGGTGGAGATGGTGCTCTCATGATCTACTTTTTCTCACCACCAACCCCTTTTCGTCCTTGGCTCCTCCACAGCTTAATCGAGTCTCTGAAGTTCTGGAGGACCCGCTTCCTGCTGCTGCCCGCCTGTGTCACTGCCACCAAGCGCATCACGGAGGGTGAAGCCCACTGCGACATCTATGGGGACCGGCCCCGGGCCGACGAGGAGGAGTGGCAGCTGCTGGATGGCTTTATCCGCTTCGTGGAGGGCCTGAACCGCATCCGCCGGCGCCACCGCTCAGATCGCATGATGCGGGTGAGGGTTCCGGGGCCCCTAGGGGACGGCGCTTGGTCTGGGATTTGGGAACCGTCTCCTCCTATCTCAGGGACCCCTCCGGGAGACTCCAGGAGACTCCAGGATATGGAATAGTTTCCGTCACTCAAAAAAAATCTCCCTCGTGCCACCCTGTGTAACAGGGGTGGGGAGCGTCCGGCCCACGGGCAGTATAAGGCCCTCGAAATCATTTGGTCGGGCCCTGCCAAGGCAGTAGAAGTTCATTAAATGTTCGACCAAATCGAGCGGGCTAATTTTTAAGTTGATAATTTTGTGTGGCCCTCGAATGATGTTGTAAATATTCACATGGCCCACCCCTACTTTATAGCCACCTTCTCCCTTCATGTCTCATTCCTGGCAGCCGGTGGCCTGTTCTCCAGCACTACGCTTTTCGTCTTTTCCAAATGTCCTATGAATGGAATCACACAATATGTGACCCTTCGGGGCTGCCTTCTCTCCCTCAGCGCCATGCCTCCACTGAGGGGCCCCCTGGGGCTGATGCCTTGTCTCCTTTCTCTGCTTCAGAAAGGGGCCGCCATGAAAGGCTTACAGATGGCGGGGCCCATTTCCACGCACTCCCTCGAGGCGGCCGGCCCCCCGGTTGGGAAGAAGGGAACCTCGGCCCTGTCTGCCCTGTTGGAGATGGAGGCCAGCCAGAAGTAAGTGCCTGGGCAGAGAGAGGCTTCAGCTACACGTAGTGGCCCAGAGAGGGGTTTTGGTTTTGTTTGGTTGGTTGGTTTTTTTTGTTTGTTTTGTTTTGTTTTGTTTTTAGTAGAATTTATTCTGTAGAACAGTTTTAGGTTCAAAGCAAAATTGAGTGCAAAGTCCAGGGATTTCCCATACACACAAATGGGGAATCTCTGTACCCACATATACGATACATATCTTCCCCCATTCATCAGCATCCCCCACCAGAGTGGTACAGTTATTACAACTGATGAAGCTACATCGACACATAGTCACCCAAAGGCCGTAGTTCATCTATCTCAGGGTTTTCTCGTGGTGTTGTACATTCTGTGGGTTTAGACAAGTTTAGGATTACATGTCATCACATGACAGAGCAGTTCCTGTGCCCCCTTAACTCTCCCAGCCAGGTCAGGGAGCCTCGGTCCTTCCCGGCGTCCTGGGCCTGTGCCCGTCAGTATTCTTCCAGGCCGCCCCTGGTTCGCTCATCTTCTCTCGACTTGTCTGTGCGCTGAGGACAGAGGCTGTGTGCTGTGCCTGGCACGTAGTAGGTGGACAATAGACGTGAACGATGGAGAAAGGGATGCAAGGGTCCCTGGACGCGATGTTATGGGGGACTAGGCCATGTGTGTCTGGTGTGAGGGTCCCAGCAGGAGCCCGCATCCATTCAGCTTTCAGGAAGTGACATGGAGTGAGGATGAGGCCGAGTGGGAGATGCGATTACAAAGGCTGCGTGGGAAGTTGGGTTCAGGCTGTCCTTACCTTAGCAAGAGCGATCCTTTGAAAGGCCTTTTATTTTCATGGAAAATTTCAAACAGATTAAAAAAAATAGACAGGCTGGTATAATAACTCCCCATTTACCCATCACCCAGCTTCACTGGTTATCATCTCATGGCCAATCTCTTTCATTTATATCCCACTTGCTCTCATCTTCCTTTTTAATTTCTTATTCAATCGCACACATGCATCCCTTCCTCTGTAACATTTCAGTATGTCTCTGAGAAATAAGCACTCTTTCTTAAAGCAAAACAAAACTGTGATACCATCATTTACCTAAAAAGTTACAGCAATCCCTTAACATCATGAAATAGCCCTTCAGTGTCTTTGCCGGAAGTGGTGTTTTCAGAGCTGAGCCCCACGTGTAGGAAGGCCCGATGGGTGGGCCCAGGAGGCAGGGGCCCATGGGTGGGCTCTCACTGGCCCAGGCGAGAATGCAGAGGTGGGGGAGGGTGATGGTGACATGGGAAGGAAGGGATCCAGGTGGGGACGTGGAGAACATAGCAGGCTGACAGGGAGCAAATGAGAGGAAGAGAGTTGGGAGGGGCTGGGCTCAGGACTGAGGGGTCCTCTTCCAAAAATACCTTCATGTGCCCAAGGAGAGACCCCAGGACCCTGCCTGGCAGGTTCTCCCTGCAACTAGTCGTAGGCCTTTCCTGCTGGAAAAAAGAACAAGGAGCATATGTTGCTGGGAAGGGTGTGAAGCTGGGGGTGGGGGGGTCTTATTTTAATTTGTCAGTGAGTCACCATTCAGGACGCTCCAAGGAGCCTGCTTCTGCTCAGCCTGGAAGAGGAAGGATGGCTTGTGGGGGGACCCGTGTGAGGGGCGAGACTCAGCTAGCCCCAGAGCAAGAGGCAGGACAGAGAGGCGAGATCCGCGCCTTCCCGAGGACTGTTCTGTGACGTGGTACGTTCTCTCAGTGCTGGAGGCAGAACAGAGGGAGCAGACCTTCGTACAGTGTTTGCTCACACAGCGTTTTTCATTTGTGTGCTTTTTTAATTTCCTGCCCCAAGCTGACCCAACTTTATTTATTATGAAAAAGAATTTTTTAAATATAATTTTTAAATTGATTTCAGAAAGGAAGGAAGAGGGAGAGAGAGAGAAACATCAATGATGAGAGAGAATCATGGATCGGCTGCCTCCTGCACACCCCACACTGGGGATCGAGCCCGCCACCCGGGCATGTGCCCTTGACCGAAACCAAACCATGACCTCCTGGTTCATAGGTCGATGCTCAACCACTGAGCCACCACAGCCAGGCATGAAAAATAATTTTTAAATGTCCCCTTAGTCCTGCCATGCCAGCATAACTGCTTATTTCTTCCACTTCCCTCCCGTCTTTCTCGGAGGCGTGTCCATTCAGTCAGGCCCTCCTGGAAGGCGGCAGTCCCGGGGATCTTGGCCTTGGGCCCATGAGCAGCGTGGCCGTGAGCCGTCTGGGCAGCAGATACCCAGCAGCAGGCTTCGCTGCTCCTGTAGATGAGGACAATGAGGACAGCTGGGTCCGAGCAGAGACCCCCCACATGGCGGCTGTTACTGCCTTGTTGCCGCCCTCCCGGCAGAAGGCCGTGTGCCCCTACGCATGTTCTCACATATGTACGTGCACAATACGTGTGACTGGTCATTTTGTGGCAGCCCCGTCCCCTGAGCCATTAGACAAGGAGCCTCCAGGGGCAAGGACAGGGTCCCTGGATCCCTGATTGCTAGTCCACGGGCCGGACAGCAGCTCAGTAAATGGGGGTTGACATGGGCGTCAGGTGAGGCCTCTATGGGTAGCCAAGACTTCCTGGCCCTGCTCTCCCGGCCGTGGCCTACCCAAGGGAATGTCACAGTGTGTGACCGCGTGTGGGGCTCAGAAGAAACCACACGGTGAGAGGGGGAGGGGGGCTGTGTGGCGGGAGGAGGCAGACAGTGATGCGAGGGGACAAGGGAAGGAACCCAGCACTTGTTCCGCTTCTCCTGTATGAACTGCACCCCAGAGTAGCAAGTCATTGGTGTGGGGAAGTTTTCTTTTTCTCAGTATTCCAGGGAATAGCTGGGGACGGATGTTAGCACATCACATGTGTGGGCTCTAATGGACGCGTAGATCAGCAGAGATGATCAGCGGCAACTGCCGTCGCCAGAGAGGGACGAGGGGCCTCCAGACAGAAGCACACGCGCGCGTAGGGAGGCGGCTGGCCCTTGAACGTCGATCTGCCCACGCCTGTCATCATCGTCTCTCGGCCTCGGGAAGCGCAGGCCCAGAGGAACGGGATGCGCAGTGAAGGGTGCCATCGGCTCTCCCAGGCTGTCCGTTTACAGGACACGCGAGCTGCTTTCTTCAACAGATAAACGGCAGGGACAAGAGCGATAAGAAGGCGTTTATAGCTTGAAAGAGACTTAAGAGACACAGCGTATTGCAGTGTAGGGACCTTAGTTGAATCCTGTTTTGAACAAACAAACTGCCAAGAAATTTTTGAAGGTGATTGGAGAAATATTTGATATTAGAAAACCTTAAAGAAAAGTTTTTGAGCCCTGACTGGTGTTTCTCAGTGGTTAGAGCATCGGCCTGCGCACCGGAGGGTCATGGGTTCGATTCCTGGTCAAGGGCGCGTACCTGGGTTGAAGGTTTGATCACCTCAGTCAGGGTGTGTGGGGGAGGCAACCAGCCGAAGTGTCTCTCTCACATCGATGTTTCTCTCTGTCTCTCCCTCTCCCTTCCACTCCCTCTAAAAATCAATGCAAAAAAATCCTCAAGTGAGGATTTAAAAAAAAACACAAACAAAAAACAAAGATGACAGCAACAGCGCTGTCTTCGTGTCATCTGGCTACCGTGGGTCCTTCCTCGGGGGCTCTGAGCGAGCCACGGGCGTGTGTTTGTCCTTCCAGGTGCCTGGGAGAGCAGCAGGCAGCTGTGCACGGTGGCAAGAGCTCCGCCCAGCCCGCCGAGAGCAGCAGCAGCGTTGCCATGACTCCCACCTACGTGGACAGCCCGAGGAAGGTAAAGGGGGCCACTCCAGCAGGGAACGGGAGACCCAATGGGCAGGGTGGGGTCTAGGACTGGCGTGCTGAGGACTCGAGGCGGTCTGCCTTGTGTTGCGCCCTTTGCAGCGTGACTACTTTTACTGAGGAACTTTCCTGCTCAAAACTGTAAGGAGGCTGGCTGCTCGGTAAAGGCAGATGGAAAGCAGTCGGGCTAAACGGTACTGGTCACGGCCCAGGACCTGGCTTGAGCCTTGGAACTGGCCATCTGGTTGTCCTGTAGCCACCTCTCCGGCTCCCCCGGAGGGCAGGTAGGAAGCTCCTGAAGCATCTGCCATGAGTTCACTGTTTTTCTTTTTTTAAAATTATCTACAAGTAAAGGTCCAGGATGAGAGAGCTCACTCTTTGATAATGAAATTCCCGTCAGTTTGCTTAGACTCCTGAAAACAACAACCACAAAAAACACAACCTGAGTCAGGGGCCTCTGAGCAGAATAGGAGGCAGGAACAGCAGAGGGGCGGGAACTGTAGTCGGGCTTCGCACACCTTTAAGACCAGTAGCCTTGGCTCTGTCCACGCCTCTGGGAAATCCAGACCCTGAGATCGTCTGGTGTGGGAGGTGAGCCGATCAGATGTCCTTTTATCTGCTCTCCATTAAGAAGAAATGAAGGAGATTTAATAGATGTATTTTCTTTTCAAAATTGTGGTCAAATTGTATATCCACCTTGGTATTTATTTATTTTACTTCCCTGTCATGAACATTTGCCCATATCATTATTTTTGCAAAGAATGAGTTTTAAAAGTAATGATAGAATATTTCATCAGATGGATGGCCCTTCATTTATAATTTGCTTTTTCCATCTGGTTTTAAAAACAACTTTTGAAAATTCTTCCGTACATTTTTATAATAATTCTACAATTATCAATAATGCTGCAAATAGCATCTTTGCAGATAATTATTTGACCACATTGCTGGTTATTTTTTTAGGATCAATTACTAGCATTAGACTACAAGGATGGAGGGATTAAAATCTGAGAAAAAGTATAACTGAGTCTATAGGCAGCTTGTGAAATCTGCAGATCAGGGGTTGGCAAACCTTGGGGAATACAGGCTTTGTGGGCCAAGAGGCAAGTTCAAGGCTTTTGCGTAGGTACTTCCATAAGCAGTTACTACCCTCTCCTAGCTCACAGGCTGTGATAAGCCAGTGGCTGGATGTGGCCTGCAGGCTGTAGTTTGCTGTGACTTCAGGTGCAGTTCTAAGGACAGTCTGTGCGTAAGGAATGACCTGTGGGTCAAGGAAAAGCTTTTCCCCCATCCTCACTTGCATGTATATACATCTCAGCAGTATCAGCACCTCTGCTGCTGTATGTTCTGGCAGAGAAGGGACCCGGATGGAACAAGGAGAATCCCAAAGTACCCTCACTTTGACCTCTGCTCATTGCCCTCTGTGAGGATTAGAAAGAGTGCCAGGGACAGGCCTGAACGGTAGAGAAATTATAGAGCCACCAGCATTCAGGCTAAAATGTGGCAACAACCCGATATTCGAGTGCTATTTAGAACACTCTCCTACTCTTCCAACTGAACACTAAAATCCAGACGGATGGCCACCCGTCATGCTGGGTGTGGATTCCCGTGTCGTCAAGGAGAAGCACAGGTGTGATGCGATGGCCAGCGCGGAGAGCCCTGGCTGACATGCTCAGAACCTCCTGGTGATGTCTCCAGGCAGCGTCTGGGTTGGGATGCGTGGAAGGGGACCCGAGGTTGCATCTCCACAGGCGTGTGTTTTCGTGGTCGGTTCCCCGGTTTCCAGTGACCTGTGGGAAATGGCGGCAGTATTGATCAAACACAGCCAGGCAGTTCAGTGATTCTGCTGACAGGATCGAAGGAAGGTCGTAGGAAAGCAGAGGCCTTCAGATCTATCGCGTGTCAGTGATAATGCATCCAAAGTAAAAACATGTTGACAGGACGAGAGAGGCCTTCTTAGCCATAAGAAAGGTGGAAGGAGGGGTCATTGGAAAAGTCCTCCATGTCATTTTTTAAAAATATATTTTTATAGTTTCAGAGAGGAAAGGAGAGGGAGAGAGAGAGAAACATCAATGATGAGAGAGAACCATTGGTCGGCCGCCTCCTGCACGCCCCACACTGGCGATGAAGCCCGCAACCCGGGCTCAATTGAACCATGACCTCCTGGTTCATAGGTTGACGCTCAACCACTGAGCCACACTGCCTGGGCTTCTATGTCATTTTTGTTTCAAATACGTGGCAACTTGAGGCCCACAGGGACAGGCGGGGAGAGGAAGGCGGTTTCAGAAGCTCCCCCCAGTGCCTGTGCATCCGACATTATGACATTGTCACACAGGCTGTGGAAGAGAAAGGATTGCTGCCTCTTTATCCCCTGTTTGCTCAGAAAATGAAGCCAGAACTTTTCCTGCATGGAACCCTCTTCTCCCATCTGGCTGCCATGTTTAGGGAGCGACAGAATTGAAAGCCTCAAGCCCTGACTATCTCTTCAAGAGGCCTGCTGGTCACCCAGGCTGGTGGGAGGCCAAGAAGTGACCCCTGAAGCGCCTTCCCTACCACCCCCTCCAAGCTGCTCTCCAGCTTCCCCTTCCCCCTGGGCATAGGCCTGAAGGGAGCCAAGAGCTATGTGGGAGGGCACACGCCTCCGAGCCGGGCTCCCAGGAGGCCCCAGGGAGCTTGGACCCACCTTCTAAGCCAGGTGCTCGCTCCCACGTGACGGGATGCTCTGCCCAAGAAGGTGCGAGTCCTGCTTGTGCTTTGCATTTGGATATTGTCTTCCCTGGTGGATCTCTTTCCCCCCCATTCTCTTCATGAGCCCTGTTTCTCTCCTTCCCTCCTTGTTTTCGTTTTTTGTTTTTCTTTCGTCCCCCGCTCCTCCCCCTGATGGCTCACCACGGGTCCACATTCCGTTCCTTCGCTCTCTTGCACCTGCTGCCGCCACTGCCTCCTCCTCCTCTGACTCCAGGACGGGGCCTTCTTTATGGAGTTTGTCCGCAGTCCGCGCACAGCGTCGTCTGCCTTCTACTCGCAGGTCAGTCAAACCCTGCAGCCCACGCACGCCTGCCCGGTCAGCAGAAGCCTTCTGCTCGGCTCAGGACAGATGGGATGGGACCTCGGCTGAGATTCAAGGGCAGCTGACATTGAATTTGGTCTCCGAGGCGTCCATTCCCATCCGAGGTTTGGGCCAGGGCAGAGGGGGATGGAAATGATGGATGTCAGAGACCAAATGGTCGCATCAGCGCTGACTCACGCTTCCTGCCTCTGCCTCTCTGTGCCAGAGTTGCCACCGATTCTTCGCCAAGTGGCAGCCTCTTCCCTTTGAGGTGTTTTGTCCATATAATACAAGCAGCATGAACGACACCTGCTTAAGGGCTGAACGCTTATTTTTTTTCCCTCCTAATACAACCAGAGAAGTCTGTAACCGTGGGGTGAGAAGCGGGAAGTGGCGGAAACCAGCAGACATTTACTAACAGGCGTGTGCTGTCAGAGGCTAACGTGTGCGGCCTGGGCAGCTCCTCCGGCCACTGGACTTCCCGGAACACGTTTGTCAAAGGAAGGGTTTGGGCCAGATCTCCAAGGGCCTCCCAAGCCTTAACATGCTTCAGTGGCTATCTGCCACGACATAGCACCATCTCACTTATCCTCACGCCGTCACCGGTGCGCTAGGTGGAAGTGTTAGGGCCAGTTTACAAATGGAAAAATTGAGAGGCAAAGAAGTTGTACTTTGCACAGCATGGTGCCGACCTGGGCTTTAAATCCAGGACCAACAGGCTCGACCCGTGACCCCCCTGCTCTGTAGTCAACATTAGCAATGACTGTCCTGACAGGTCCTGGGTGACGATGAACGGGGCTCCCAGTCCTTTACCAAGACCCCTGAGTGAGTGAAATCGGCTTAGTTACAGAGACTTGAGAGAGCTGAGGAGGCTTATGCAGAGCAGGGCAAGCTAAGGAGGATGGGACTTGAGAGTTTAAGGGTGGAGGTTAAGGGAGCCTTACTGGATAGAAGTCAGAAAACCAGCATTAAGTACCTACTCTGCCACCTACTATGCAATGAACTCTGCAAATCTGATCTTCCCAACAGGGTGTGAGGTGCAGGGATTATCACCCCACTTTCCAGATGAGGACACTGAGGCTTAAGGATGTTAGTTGGTCAGGAGGCATACAGCTGGCACCATTCTGCCCACCAGTCTGTGTGGTCTGCACCTACCTCTTCCCAGTGAGCTGCTCGACTCGGGGCAAATCCCTGCTGGGACCTCTGAGTCCTCATCCAGAATCTGTGATCTCTGAGTGTGGGCGGCACGCTGCATTTTTGGTTTAAAACAGACTCGGGTCGGACTTCTTAAACTTTTGCTTTCTAACAAGAGACCCTCTTGGACTTAGATTAGAATTTAACATAAGAAAAAGCAATCCCTAGCTGGTTTGGTTCAGTGGCTAGAGCGTCGGCCTGCGGACTGAAGGGTCCCGGGTTTTACAGTCAAGGGCACATGCCTGGGTTGCAGGCTTGATCCCCAGTGGGGGGCATGCAGGAGGCAGCCGATCAATGATTCTCTTTCATCATTGATGTTTCTATCTCTCTCTCCCTCTCCCTTCCTCTCTGAAATAAAAAAATATATATATTTTAAAAAGATCAACATATCTGGAATAAGAGAATTGTGTTATAAATCCCGTAATAGTCCGCACAGCTTCACATGGTAGAATTCACCAGTAGAACAAAAGTGGGTGAGTTCCCACAATTGGAAATTACAGAGTTGAGATCTTAGGAGGACACATGAAAAAATTTATATCTCCCACCAGGTATGTTGTTAAGAAGACATATAACTTCTTAGAAAATTATCTCTACTCAAATCAGATACTTACACAAAATTAAATTGCACTTTATTTATGTTTCATTTCTGTGTTAAATATACATAAAATCTGCCGAAACCGGTTTGGCTCAGTGGATAGAGCGTCGGCCTGCGGACTGAAGGGTCCCAGGTTCGATTCCGGTCAAGGGCATGTACCTTGGTGGCGGGCATATCCCCAGTAGGAGATGTGCAGGAGGCAGCTGATCGATGTTTCTCTCTCATCGATGTTTCTAACTCTCTATCTCTCTCCCTTCCTCTCTGTGAAAAATCAATAAAATATATAAAAAAAAAAATATATACATAAAATCTGCTTGCTTTGTTTTCTTTAGAAATTCTTTATTTTTATTGATTTCAGAGAGGAAGGGAGAGGAGAGGAGCGAGAGAAAGATAGAAAGATTGAAAGATGAACATAGAGCAGGCGTCAGGGAATGGGCAAACTTGGCCCACCATCTGCTTTTATGAATAAAGTTTTATTGGAACAAAGCCATGTCCATTTGTTTACGTTGTCTACGGCTGCTTCTGTGCCTCTCCATGCAGAGTTGAGTAGTTGCCGCAAGCCCTGTATGGCCCACAAAGCCTAAAATATTTAGTCTGGTCCTTTCCAGAAAATGTTTGCCAATTTCTGATGAAGTGGATAACTCCTTAACCTCATCTCCACTGAAATGAAACGCAGGAATTAGGTAAATTTTGGAGACATTCTTCCGTTTAGGCTGGTGGGGCAGTTCTCAGGGGCAGTAGATAAGAGGAAACCCATTACCCGGATCCAGAAGGCATCACAGAAGAGCCACACTTTTGTGCCTGAGAGCTGGGTCGAGTCCTCCATTCGCTTCTAATTTAGAATGACAGTGCAGTACCCGTTCCTAAGCCTTGCTGGTTAGAAGCAGATGGGGATTGGTAATAGCAAGTTGCCTCTTGCGGCCTTTCTCCGTGTACTTATGGTGCTGGCAGAGTCTATGTGTTTTTGGTGTGTTTTCCCCCCCAAACTGAGAGCCAAATGGTTCTTTCAGAATGAGGGGCAATTTTGCCTCCCAAGGTACATTTGGTACTATCTGGAGACCTTTTTATTCATGACAACTGGGCTGGGGGAGATAATGAGAGCAGTGTTACTGGCATCTAGTGGGTAGGAGCTGGGGATGCTGCTCTATGTCCCACACAGGACAGCCCCCACAACAGACTTATCTGTCCCCAAGTGGCAGTAGTGTCAAGGTTGAGACGCCCTGACTTAGCAGGAGTAATTTGTGCAGCATCTAACAACATAGCTGATGATATAAAGCTTCATTTTAGAAGTGCTCAAGTACTCCTAGTACCCTTTAAAAAAAGAAAAAGAAAAAAGAAAAGAAAAGGACCATAAATGTAAATAGCCTTACAGGATTTCTTTTTTTTTTTTTTTTAACGTACAGGTGTCTGTGGACCAGACGGCCGTCCCGGGGTTGGACGGCACCAGCTTGGGGGTAAGCACAGGCCAGTCTGCGGACAGAGGCAACAGCCAGACCTTCGGGAACTCCCAGAACGCGGGGGAGCAGAGCTTCACCTCCGCGAACCCCAGTGACAGCAGGTGAGACTCCTGGGCGGTGGGATGGTCCGCCCGCAGAGGCTGCGGAGGCGGGGCGGCCAGAGTCCTGACTCCCAGTCCGTTCTTACCAGACCTGTGCTGGGCTGATGCCCTGCGCCCTGCCTTGCTCACAGGAGAGCTCAGAGGTCCCCACAGAGGATCAGACATGCAGGGTGGGTTTCGGGGAGGGGGCTCTGAGCCAGTCAGTCCTGTTCCACGTGGCTCCTGTGGCAGAGGCCTCCCATGTGGTAGCGTGCAGTGGGTCTGTGCCGCTGGAGGAAATGCACGGGTAGTGAATGGGTCGCCCTCTGTGGCCAGATAGGGCCACACTGTTCCCAATCCTGAGCATCCAGAGGGAACAGAAGCCGCTCGGACCTCATTTGCTTGGGGAAGCGGCCCACACCCCAGCTTGTTATACCGCTGGCAGATCAGAGGAACTTCTTTTTGATTTCCTTTGTTGCATAATTGCTCCCTAGCCATCTGCCCAGGCTGTTCCTGCCGCCTTCCTGGGCTGATGGAGCAGCCCTGGGCTGCGTGGCCTGAGAAACTGCCTCTTGCACCCGTTCCCTGAGAGAGAAGGGCCCCGGGCAGCCTGCCTGCCGGCGCTGTCGGAAGCACTCCATTGCCTTCACGTCGCACATGCAGGGCCGGCTTCCCATGTCTCATGCACGCAGCCCGTTCACTGTGGCCAGCGGAGGATCAGTTCAGAGGCGCAAGCAGGCCTGGGTGTGCCTCGTCTCTGTTGCCTTCCAGGCTCATCCCCATCGAGCCTGGCTCTGGCCGGGGAGGGTCGGAGGGGCTGCCTGGTTCCTAGGGACGGAGTGCATGTCCCTGCTTCCTCCTTGCTTGCGAGACCAGGGGCACAGGTTTCTTCTGCTTTTGAAAGGAAAGAGGAACTGGGGGTGTGTAGGCTGGAGACAAGGAGACCAACATTGACAGAATCAGGACCAGTGAATGGAAATAGAACAGGTTCCATTTCGTGCTAAAGAACTTGCTAGCAGCTGGTACGCCACAGGGAGGTGGGCTTCCTCGGAGGAGCTGAGTTCTGCGCTCACACGGGTGGGACCGCCTCCTGTCCGAGCCTGGGAGTGGGGACTCGGGGTGCTGGGTTCAGTCCCCATTCAGCGTGGGTATGGGAGGCACCCCTTCTCCTCTCTGTAAAATCAACAAAACGTATTTTTTTAAAAATAAGCAAGTGTGGACATAAAATCACTTGGAATTCTTTTTGTTTTTTAATGTATACACTTTGGAAGTAGGAACCTCTCCCCCTTCCCATAAGATAACCCCAGGATGTCGCGATCCAGAATTTTCTGGGTCACCTTTAATGTCAGTGCTGTCCAAGGTCCCCGCTCTGTAAGAAGGACGGTTCCTCAGGTCCCGGCTCTGGCCCTGCTGACCAGGCGCTCTGTGTCCCAGCTCTCAGCAGGTGCTGGCAAGCTCCTTGACGTCGGCCTCCACCCTGGCCGAGATCCTGGAAGCCATGAAGCACCCCTCGTAAGTGCTGGGCGCGTGTGTGAGCGCCGGGGCGGGAGGGTCCGCAGGCCCAAGCCGGGCCCTGCTCGGGCAGTGCAGTGCGGTGGGGTCCTACCTGACTTGGCTGCTCACTAGCTGTGAGACCTCGGGCGAGTCCCTTGACCTCTCTGGTCTCTGAGACGTACCTTGTTTGTAAAATGGGACAATAGAAGTCCCAGGTTGGATGTAAGGATTAAATAGGATAGTTACGTAGCTCACCTCGTCTCGTACCTGACGAGTATATTCTCTAAATGTCGGGTCCTTTTTGCTTTCTCTTCTCCTTTTCCCCCTTTCACACCATTTTTTGTTCTGTCCTGGGGTTTCTCTGGGTCTAGAAATAGTGGAGAGCAGTTGCTCACGCCAGATAGTAAGCGCTTTAGCGCGAGTCCCTTCTTCACCATCTTCTCTTTCCGCTGTTGCCATGGTGCGTACGCGCCCTGCTCCCTGCCTGCCACGTTGGAACTCAGGACAGGCGTCCAGCTGCTCTCAGAACAGAAGGGCCTCTCGCCCTCCTGCTTCATCAGCGCGGAGGTGGTGCACTGGCTGGTGAACAACGTGGAGGGCGTCCAGACGCCGGCCATGGCCATCGACATCATGCAGGTGAGACAGGCCGGGCGGGGCCACAGAACCGTCTGCTCTGGTCCCGGGAAGCCAGAGCCCGTCTGTGAAGGAGCCGCCCTTTCCAGCAGCAAGGTCTGGAGTGGGGGGGTGAGGGTCTGCTTTTAATAAGTGTGAGGACTGTCTGGAATCGAGGAAGGAGCTTGTCTTGCTTTGAAAGACACGACTTAAAAATCTGGCTGAGCCCGGCCGGCGGGGCTCAGTGTTTGAGTGTTAATCTATGAACCAGGAGGTCACAGCTCGATTCCCGGTCAGGACACATGCCTGGGTTGTGGGCTCCATCCCCAGTGGGGGCGCATGCAGGAGGCAGCTGATCCATGATTCTCTGAGATCATTGATGTTTCTATCTCTCCCTCTCCCTTCCTTTCGGAAATCAATAAAAATATATTTTCAAAAGATCCGATGTCAGTATAGTAAAATATTAACTTTGTCGAAGTTGAGTTTTCTTTATGTTTGAAATATTTGATGATGTTAAAAAACGCATTTGTACTTTATAGCATTGTCTGCACCAGGCACAGCACTTCACAGGGTGCAGCTATGGCTGATGGGGTGGAGGGTACGGTCTCCTGGGGGCCCTGTCATTCCCTCCACCCCGCCCTGTACGGGGGCTGCACCTCTCACATGTCTCTCTGCGGGAATTTCAGTTTCACTGTCTCTCCCTCAGAAAATGCTGGAGGAGCAGCTCATCACGCACGCGTCTGGCGAAGTCTGGCGGACCTTCATCTACGGCTTCTATTTCTACAAGATAGTCATGGACAGAGAGCCCGACCGAGGTCAGAGACGCGGCACGCTGGGGCCACGGGGGCCGGTGCTTTGCCCAGTGACTTGCTCTCTCAAATG